TTAAGAAGTTCATAGGGAGTCTTATTTAACTTTGGTCTAATGAGACCTCTATTCAATATATAGCAAGCAGTGTCAACAGCTTCTCCCCAAAAACTCTTTGGGAGACCACTCTCAATGAGCATCGTCCTCGCCATCTCCTCAAGAGTTCTATTCTTCCTTTCTACAACACCATTTTGTTGAGGTGTTCTAGGGGCTGAGAAGTTGTGATTAACTCCATGTTCCCTACAATAATCAATAAAGTTAGCATTATCAAATTCAGTACCATGGTCTGATCTTACCGAGACCAGCTTGTGGGTGAGCTGGTTCTCCACTTGTTTCACCAATGTTACCCATTCTTCAAACGTTTCATCCTTTGTGTGTAACATCATTACCCAAGTGTACCTAGAATAATCATCAACCATAACACAGACATATCTATGACCTCTTCGACTTTTTACTCTCATGGGACCACACAAGTCAATATGTACAAGTTCGAAGGGTTTGCTGGTACTCATAATAGTTTTAGGCTTAAAAGAAATTTTGACCTGTTTCCCCCTTACACATTCAGAACAAACTTTATCAGCTTCATACTTAATGTTAGGAAGGCCTACAACTAAGTCACGTATTTTAAGTTTGTTTAGAAGTGTTAGGCTAGCATGTCCAAACCTCTTATGCCAAATCCATTGATTATTGTCAGAAACAGCTCTCAAACAGATGGACTTGTCTTGAGGGATTTTATCTAAGAAGGTGATGTAAACATCATGCTTCCTGGTTCCCTCACATACAAGTTCTCCTGTTTGTGAGTTAACTATGTGACATAGGTTGGCTTGAAACTCAACTCTATTACCTTTGTCACATAATTGAGAAATACTCAAGAGATTATGTTGCAAGCCTTCAACATAATAAACATCATCTATTGCGTTAGAAAGTGTCTTACCAACCTTACCTAAACCAGTGATGGTTCCCTTGCTGTTATCCCCAAAGGTGACACTTCCTCCATCAAAGGCCACTAGTGAAAGGAATTGATCTTTATCCCCGGACATGTGTCTTGAGCAACCACTGTCCAAATACCAATAGGTGTCTCCCTTCACTCTAGCCTGCAAGAGCAAATCAAACATTAGATTTAGGAACCCAAACATACTTGGGTCCCTTTTCAACAATATTAACAACTTGTTGATCCTTTCTTCTCCAAACACACTTTGCACCCTTGCTGTTCTTATTAGCACTAATTTTCTTAGCTGGACATTCATGTATCTTATGTCCATTTTTACCACAATGAAAACACACATGCATCTCTTTAGTCATGACATACTTGCCTCGTTGATATTCTTTGATCCAGGTGGTTTCTCTGGGAGACCAGTTAGTCCTGGTTTTCTGTCTAGTATAACCGAGACCAACTTTTCCTCTGTTTCCTCTTGATGAAGTCAGGTAATTTAAGGATTTTTGAGCATTCAATAATTTGTCCACATGTCTATGACTATCATTAAGTTCTTTTTCTCTGGTTTCAAGTGTCTTAGTCAACAATTCGTTTTTCTCTTTAAGAAAATCAAAGTTACTTTTTAAAGCTTCGAATTGTAGATTAAGCTTTGAAACCATACGGTCAATAGACATGTCAACAACCACTGGTTGCTTGTCCTTTTTCAGTTGATTGATTTCCGCATGCAAATCACAAATATTACTTTCATACTTATCAATCATATTACTGACATCTACACTGGTACCTGTAGGGGAAACAGTGAACTGTGCAGCTTTAAGTGAAGCAATTTCCTTGTGAGAATTTTCCAGGTTGTAAGCCAATGTTTCAAAGGCCTTCAACAAGGAAGTTCTAGTACATGAATTTGCTTTACTTATAGCTACTGAAAAATCAAGAGTATCACTAGTGGTTGATAAGTCTCTAGGGAACCAGGAGGTCAGATCCTCTTCACCATCAATTGGTTCAAACGATCTTTCCTTTTCTAGTTCCACTTTACACTTGTCCAATTCAACCTCTAGTTCTGCTACTTGATTTTTTAGTTCATAACAGATTCCTTCTAGATGATCACAGCTAGCAATAGCAATATTACATTCACCACTTTTTTCTTTTAATTCTCTTTTGCAAATTATGTATGTTTCACTTAATTTATAGCATTCATCTAGTAAGGAATCAATACAAGCAAGCATATTTTCTCTATCATATTCATGCATATCTTCTCTAATTTGCTCTAAGCTTACCTTGCGTTCATGTAGTACATCCTTCTTTGCCATAAAGCATTTGTTGAATGTACTGGTTCCCCCTCTGGTTCCTGGACCAGTGTTGTTTTCCTTGATGTTTGTAAAGGCAGTTAGGCAAACATCTGAGTTGGGTGATCCTTCTTCTTCATCTGACCCTGAGTCAGAGTCTCCCCACATGGAAGCTATCATGGCATTCTTGTATGCTTGTTTATCTCCGGATTTAGACTGTTTGTCATTCCACTTAGGACAATCTCGAATAAGATGTCCTTTTTCTCCACACTTGAAACATCCTGTAGAAGAAGAATTAGAGTTAGATTTTTTATAGTTTTTAAAATGCTTACCTTTGAAATTCTTTCTTTGATCCCGAAGAGATCTCTCAAATCTTTTTGCAATCATGCTAATTTCATCTTCATCATCTTCTACTGTTCCCTTAAGCGCCATGCCTCTTGCTGGTTCCTTCTCAGACTTAGAGTCAATCAGCATCTCATGAGTCATAAGGGAACCAATCAGCTGTTCCAGAGACAAGGTAGACAGATCCTTTGCTTCGTATACTGCTGTTACCTTGGCTGTCCATGCATCTGTTAAACTACGCAATAATTTTCTCACAAGATCCTCGTCAGATAAATTTTTACCAAGAGATCTAAGATCATTTACAATAGTCATAAACCTACGAAAGCAATCATTGATTTTTTCATTTTTATTCATGGCAAACAATTCATATTTAGACATGATTAAATCAATTTTAGACCGTTTTACCTCACTGGTTCCCTCAAACGCAAGTTCAAGGGTGTCCCATATCTCCTTAGCACTACTGCATCCAGATATACGATTTGTTTCGGTCTCACCTATTGCTTGTTGTAGTATTGACATTGCCTTAGCATTCTTCTCCAGCAACTTGTAATCAGCAGTGACCAATTCGCTATCTTTCTTGGGAACCTGGTTCCCCTCAACATCTGTCTTGAGAATAATATTAGGACCATTTTTAACTACGAGCCAGCATTCATAATCAATACCCATGATAACATTCTGGATCCTGTTCTTCCACCAAGCATAATTATTTCCATTAAACTTGGGTGACTTGTTGTCATAACCGATTGCACTTAATTCTTGAGTACTCATTCTTAACTCCTCTAGATGTTACTCTTTCGAGAAGCTTAGGCTCTGATACCAATTGAAGGTTCAATGGGCACTCAAGAGGGGGGGGGGGTGAATTGAGTGTTAAGTAATCGTTGGCTAATTTTGCTTCTTTTCGGATTATGTGTGAGGAACCAGTTGTGCTGGTTCCGGTACGCAGCGGAATATAAATAAGCAATAAAGAAGACAAAAAATTTAACGAGGTTCAGCCAACTCAGGCCTACGTCCTCCTATCCTAAGTTCTTTATTAATCTACTCCGAAAAACAAAGACAAAGAACACTCTGCTGTTTCCCTACTCCGGGAACCAGCAAACCCCACACTCTACTCCGAGTGTGCTCTCGACTTACACTCGTAAGCCCAATGTGTTTGAACTCACAAACACTCACCCAGCCTTTAACCCCTTTGTTAAAGACTCAATACAAGAATCAAGAACTCTCCTTTGATCTCACTTCAACGAAGCTAATTAAGAGAAAATGTTTTTGTACTAGAATGCTCTTGTATATGACTTGATGAATGGGATTAGTGCTTAAGTATATGCTCTCAAATAATTGCTCTTTTTAATTTCTGGAGAGGCACGCGAAATATGTGAAATAAGATGAGTTTATATAAGCTTAGATTCCTAAAACCTAGTTTCCTTAAATCACACAATCTTAGAGAATAAGATATATTGTAATTTTAGGAAAGTATTTATCTTATTTGATTTAATCACAAAGATAGAATCAATTAAGATAAATACTCCTAGTTTTTAGGTAACCAAGAATATTTCATCTTATTTCCAGCTGCACAAAATATTTTCAAAATAATCTTTTCGAAAAAATCTTTTTGTAAAATCTTTTTCCAAAACGGCAGCTCGAATATTTCGTACAGTGAACCTGGTTCCCCGACCTGGTTCCCTGAATTGAAACATGTTATGAAACCTGTTCCAACTTTGTACCAGATTTCATATCATACTTCAATATACTTTTAAGCACTTATATAACCCAAACATGCAAGCATACTACGGAGCATATTACATGAAAACCTAGATAACATATTAAAGCATAAATCGTCTTTTCTTCATGTAATCTTCAAGACTTGAATCTTCCTTGAATACTTCTATTATGAGCAAACAATCTTTCTTCGAAATATCTTCGAAAGGCTTCTATGCTCCAAGTCTTGGAATCAACTCAACTACTGCACATGTAACATGGTTAATGCACAATAAAGAGTATGTGACTGCTTTTCCGCATAGCAGTCAAGGAAACGGTTCATACTGGTTCCCCACCAGTACATAGCACATTTATCATCTAACTGTTTCCTGTATATAGATAAGTTAGTTCAATAGATAACTCATATAATCAATAACTTATCTAGGAAAACAGTGTTCTATTTTAGTTGGTTCCCCCAACTGTATTGAACACTTTCAAAGACCTGTTTCCCTTAGCTGTTTGTCATCATTCAAAACTATCAATCAAAACCTAAGGGACTCAACACATTATCACTTCGTAAAACTTTTATTTTTTTTATTGAATTGAGTTTTTATTAAAGCATAAAAGTTACGAATTAACTTCCCAACTTCATATTTTCCAATTATCAAATAAATCCAAGTAGCACGGGAGAAATCATCAACAATAGTAAGAAAATATCTAGCAGTGCAACTAGATGATACTCTATTTGGACCCCAAATATCACAATGTATCAAATCAAACAAAGCAGATGCTTTATTCATACTTAAAGGAAAAGAGTTTCGGGGTTGTTTACCCATAAAACAAATACGACAATAAAAAACAGCACACTTTTTATTCATACTACTACTGGCTACTCCAGGCAAAGAAGAAACAACTTTCATCGAAGGGTGACCTAAACGTCTATGCCATAACATACTTGCATCTGGAACATCAACCGAATTGACTTGATAACTACGAGCACGAACCGGTCTGAAGAGATAGACCCCATTATACTGCACCCCCGCTCCAATCAGGTTCTTCAAAGTGCGGTCCTGAATTGTACATAGCTTGTTAGTGAAAAGAACAATATATTTTTGCTTTTCTAATAATTGAGATACTGACAATAAGTTACAATTTAATTCGGGAACAAATAAAACATCTTCTAATATTAAACCATCACTCAATTTTATTTTTCCTTCCTTAGTGGCCGTAGTACTCTTTCCGTTAAGCAAACCAACCGAAGATATAATATCACACAAATCATAAAACAAATTTAAATCACCCGACATATGATTCGAGGCTCCGGTATCAATTATCCACTCATTAAAATTATACATACCGTGAGATGTTTGGTCACTTGAAGAATTAGTGGGTTTTCCACCCTTTATTGCATTTAAGAATTGGGCCCATTGTGCATCAGTGAGTGTAGGAGCACTTTGACGATCATTCTTGTTAATCTCAGACCCACTCGATTGACGAGTGTTGTTGCTCATATTTGCTGCAAACCCACGGCCACCACCACTTGATTGACGACCACCACGACTACCACTACTTGATTGACAACCACCACGACTAGTCCTACCACCACGATTACCACCACGACCACCACCGTTAAACGATTCGGGCCAACCCACAAGATCAAAACACTTCTCCTTCTCATGACCCTTTTTACCACAATGGTCACACACCCTAGCATCACCACCACTGGACCAAGAAGTAGTCCTGCCTTGAGCAGAACCTGACGCTGCAAACCCAACTGCCTCCGAACGAGTATCATGAGCATCGGAGACCGTTTGTTTACGCTCATCAGACACCACTTTTGCATAAGCCACATTAAGGGAAGGTACTGGGTCCATCATAAGAAGGGTAGAAACAACACTACCAAATTTCTTTGGCTCCAAACCGATACAAAATTGATGGAGTAGTTCACTTTCAACAATTTTAGCATATTCATGAGCAGCAGTACATGTACACTTGGGAACTTTGACATAACTAGCTAACTCATCTTGTAATTTACGTAACTCACCAAAATACACAGCCACTGGCCTACCACGCTGCTTGCAATCCACAATTTGAGCTTTTTAACTCAAGAATACGAGGGCCATTGCCAAGGGAATATCTATCACGTAGATCATCCCACAAAGACGACTTGACATGGTCTGGGAAACGAACAGTGGATCGAACAGAGACATCCAAAGTATTAACAATCCAAGCAACAAGCATTGAATTAACAATCCCCCATTGATCGAAATCAGGAGACTTAGCATCCGACACGGTAATAGTAGCATCAATAAAACCAAGTTTGTTCTTCGCACGAAGGTTATTGCGTAAAGAACGAGACCACTCCTCGTAGTTATCTCCTTTTAGCAGAATTGGGCTGGGCTAATCACAGCCCCTGTACCTTCACTCGGATGGAGATAGTAGGCAGATAACGGTTCATAACGAGGACCCGGAGGAGGAGGCGGCGGCGAAACTGCACCACCAGTCATCACAACTCAAACGAAAAAGAAGAAAACAATGAACACACAAAGCGGAAGCACACACCAAGAACTAATTAACTCACAGAAATAATCTTGAAAAATAAAAATAAAAAATACTAGGGTTTGTGTTTGGGAATAAATTAGGAAAAGCAACGTAAAAAAAATCTCAAATCAGAGGGCTCTTGATACCATGTTAAATTTACGCAAAAAATATGAGAAAACGGCTTAATGAGCCTTTACCATTAATCATATATATATATAGGCTTACAACATTAACCTAACTCACCAAAAAACTCCTAATAAGATATACACAAATATATTCACAAAATATATCTAACTTAACATAAATATATCATAACATTTTTTGGCTGTTTGACCACCTAAAAAAGCCAAAAGCTAATAAAAAAAGCCATCAAAAAGCCAATTACCAAATATGGCCAAAGTCTTGATTTTTGTAAGGTGTGGGACCCAGATTAGCTCCGCCAATGCTAACCATAGACTAGTAGATTAAAAATAAAATTGACTTGTAAAATGACAGAGTCTCCTCTTCAATTATTATAACTTGACGGTGCTTAAGGTTTATCACTCACACCCCTGCCTGCTCTATTTTCTGAAGTGTTAATCCACCCTCCCCTTTTCCAAAACAAAACAAAATAAAATAAAATTTAAAAAAAAAAAAAAACAAAAAAAAAAAAAACCAAATGGGCACAATCATGAATAGAAAGAATTTGTTGCAAGTATACATTTTGCAATTGTTGGTCGATTTTTCTTTAGGAAAAGACACCATTTATCCCGGCGAATCTATCAACGAAAGTAACGAAACAATAACCTCTAGAAATGGCGTTTTTGCATTTGGTTTTACATACCCTTTCACGGATTACAGTACTGCTGGTATATGGCACAGTACTGCTGGTATATGGTACAACAAACTTCCTGAACAGACTAGTGTGTGGACAGCGGACGAGGAATATTACCTTGAAAGCGAACTGCCCCAACTTAATCTGTCTCTTCAAGGTAACTTAACATTCAACTATAGCGAGAACTATATCATGGTGAATTGGTCAAGCAGTTCATCCTCAGAGTACAATTCCACAAAATTAGTCCTCGAGGACAATGGTAATCTGGTGCTTAAGTTAATTTCAGATCCCAACATCATCCTCTGGCAGAGTTTTGATCATCCTTCAGATACGTGGTTACCTGGTGCCAAGGTCGGGTTCAATAAGCTTACTAGCACACAACAAGTCTACGAATCCGGTGGTTACTCTTTTCAGATGGATAAAAATACATTTAACTCTATTAGTCTTAAGAATGGCTCTTGTAGGGTTAAAGAAAAATCTATCTCTTGTATGTTAATATTAGGCTGGTATTATGGTCAAGCAGAAATGGATCTGTTTGATCACACCTCCGTCTCCCTCATGTCAAATGTGAACGAGACATATTTTACTTATTCACAGACAGACTCCTCCATCTTAACACGATTTATGCTCGACAAAGCCACTGGGTTATTAACTCAATATATGTGGTTAGAAGATTACCAAGTCTGGATGCCATCCAAATGGAGGTTGGCTGACACATTTTGTGATCAATTTGCAGTCTACAACAATAAAAAGGATCATTTGCCACACTGTACATGCTCTACTAGAACAAGATGTGTTAACACAAGTCCTTTCCAATGTCATGATGGCGAAAAAGATGGCTTTCTACTGCTTCACAATGTGACATTACCTTTGGAGGATGGATATTTCAGTAGTAAAGATATGTGCAACTTAGATTGTATGCAAAATTGCGACTGTGAAGCCTATGCTGGTGGCGGTAACTTAAATTGTCAGAATTGGTATAGCTTGCTAGGTCTTGCTTATACTTCAGGATCATCAGACCTCAAACTTGCTAAATCTAACAAGAGAATGGCTAAGCCAAGAAGCATATATTTAGTTATAGGAGCAGCAATTGGTGGATTAAGTCTAATTATTACTGTGCTGGTTGTAATTTGGAAGAGCAGAGGCAGAAAAGCCATTCAGGCAGTGGAGGGCTCATTAATTCTCATGAAACACAGTGCTCTCCGCCGTGCAACAAAGAATTTTTCATGTAAGTTGGGTGAAGGAGGGTTTGGTTTTGTCTACAAAGGAACCTTGCCAAATTCATCGCGTGGTATAGCAGTGAAGCATCTCAAGATCCAAGGCCAAGGAGAGAAACAATTCAGAGCAGAAATAAGCACCTTAGGAACAATCCATCATTCCAATCTTGTGCGTCTCTGGGGTTTTTGCATTGAAGCCTCAAAGAGATTTCTAGTCTATGAGTATATGCCTAATGGATCACTTGACAGGCATATATTTTGTGATAGCCGCGGAAATTTAGATTGGACAACAAGATACAAAATTGGACTAGGGATTGCAAGAGGGTTGGCCTATCTACATAGCGGGTGCAGGGAATGTATCATACACTGTGACATAAAGCCGGAGAATATACTGCTAGATGACGAATATAATCCCAAGATTGCTGATTTTGGCCTTGCAAAACTTCTATGCAGAGACTTCAGTCGAGTACTGACAACGATGAGAGGAACAAGAGGCTATCTTGCACCCGAGTGGATTTCAGGTGCACCCATTACATCAAAGGCTGATGTATACAGCTACGGAATGATGCTTTTTGAGATTATATCCGGCAGGAGAAACTGGTCTGTAAGAACCAATGGGGAAAACGATTACTTTCCTATCCAAGTCATGCAGAAATTGATGAGTAATGAAGATGTTATAAGCTTGATAGACAGTAAACTAGAAGAAACTGTCAATGCAGAAGAATTAATCAGGGCTTGTAGAGTTGCAGGCTGGTGTATCCAAGAAAATGAGGAAGATAGACTGTCTATGATAAATGTTGTGCGAATTTTGGAAGGAGTCGTGGAAGTGGCTACCCCTCCAATTCCAAGATTTCTGCAACATGTTACAGAAATCCCGGAGGATTCTACAGCTTACCATACATGTATTGTTGAGTGATAACTAACCAACTCGTCATCAAAATGACAGTGAATGAAAATTTCATATTCATTGTAAAACTGTAATAGGCCATATATATCCATGTTACTTGGTATAATTGGCAAAATTAAGGCCAAAGTTTCTTTCCTATGTTTGTCTGAACGTACTCCTAATCTAATGGATACGTACAAGACTCGAAGTTGTATTTCTTTATCAAATGCAGACATCTGCATTTCTTTTGTTGAGTGAAAGTTGCAGTTAGAGTTACTTATCTGCCATACAAAAGACGCTATCATAAAGCTGTACTAGTACTAGTTTTTTTTTTAGTGATTGTTAAAGTGTATCAATAATCTACCCTCTTAATCTGATTATCAGGATTATGTTAAGCTACACAAATTAACATATGACTAATGCAACTATATCAATAATACATAGATTATGACTCCGACAAAATATACTTCTTCCATTTATTTTCTACAGCAACATATATTGTCCATAATGAATGTATCTAAATATCATAAATACCTAATGCGAATATTCAAACAAATGCATCTCCCCTACCATGAGTTTTTTTTTCTCCTTTTTATTAAATGCAGTCAATGAAATTTAGCAAAGACTGAAATTATATAGATTGGCCTTAAAAAAAAAATAAAAAATAAAAAACCGGAGAAGTTACAAGGTTGCTGAATTGAAAAGGATATTAGAGTGAGACTTGATACAAAGACAAAAGTATGTTCAACTAATCAACTTAACTAATGTTGACGCAGAAATCAGACAATAATATGGTCCGATTTGAAAAGTATTCTTCTTTTAGCTACGGAGTACACTCTATAGAAATGATGAAACTTGAAAACACGAATCAATAAAGAAATTGGTGCAATCTTAAGGGTATGACGAAGTATTAATCATAAGGTAGGACTAAGACTTTTTTGGCAAAGATCAATTGTTATTGACTTACTAGTCAACGTACAAGTTTCCAACAAGTTTCTTCACTCACATCTATCCTTAGCTCTCTGCTCTTTCACTCTTTGCCAGTGCTTAAATCCATCTTGTTTCTAAAAAAAATAAATATTAAAAACATAAACCACAACAAAAGATGGGTACAATTATCATTACCAAGCTTTTGTTGCATGTTTATTCTTTGCATCTCTTTTTCTTCCTTTCTTTTGGAACCAATACCATTTACTCGGGTCAATCTAACTCCTATTATACCATTATAACGTCTACAAATGGAGTCTTTGAACTTGCCTTCTATACACCAGGATCATTGTACGGCTGCTATATCTACGAGAGCAGCCAGTACATAGACTGCTACATTGTAATCCGATACAATAACCTTCCTGCACAAGATATTGTTTGGACAGGAAATATCAGAAATCCCCTGTCTATCAAATCATCCTCACCTACACTATCTTTAAATGGTAACTTAACACTCACCAACGGCGAAGGACAATCCATTGTAATTTGGTCAAGCAGATCATCCTCGGAGCTTAACTCTACTAAGTTAGTTCTCGAGGACAATGGTAATTTGGTGATTAAAAGTATGTTAGAACCTAACCAAATTCTGTGGCAGAGTTTTGATCACCCTACTGATACATGGCTACCTGGTGCCAAGGTCGGGTTCAATAAGCTTACTAGCACTCGACAAGTCTATAGTTCTAATGATTTCTCATTTAAAATAGATCTCAACACAATGAGTTCTATTAGTCTTGAGAAAGGTGGGACTAAACACGGTTCTTGTCGGCTTAAAGGAAAATCTTTCTCTTGTTTTATGGAATTAAATTGGTATGGGAAAGCCGATATGCTTCTACTTGATCACACTACCATCTCTCGTGTATCAAATGAAAATGAAACGTATCTCATGTATTCGCCAACAAACTCCTCCATTTTAACACGATTTGTCCTAGACGGATTCACTGGATTTTTAAGTGAATTTGTGTGGTTTGAAGATTTCCAAGTCTGGATGCCATCCAAATGGAAGTTGGCTGACAAATACTGTGATCAATTTGTAGTCTACAACCGCCAACAGAACAACTCGCAAAATTGCACATGCTTTTCTACAGCTGATTGTGTAAACACTAGTCCTTTCCAATGTTATGATGGCACAAAAGAAGGCTTTCTAATGATTCAGAATTCGACACTTCCTTCGAAGAATGGTCTTCCAATAGGAGGTCAAGACGGTTGCAGTAGACCTTGTATGCGAGATTGCAACTGTGAAGCATATGGACGATATGATGATCACATTAACGCGTGCCACATGTGGTATAGCCCGCTAGGCCTATATTATTCTCCAGGAACAGATGTATATGTCAGACTTGCTACAACTAATTGGATCAAGGCCGGACTTGCTACAACTAAGGCGAGAAAGGCTAAGCCGATAAGTAATTCATCAATCATAGGAGCAGCTCTAGGTGGATTAAGTCTAATAGTCACAACAGTGGTTTTCATTTGGAAAAGCAGAAGAAGAAACTCTGTACAAGCGTTACAGGCAGAGGAGGGTTCTTTAATTCTCATGAAATACAGTGCTATCCGGAGTGCAACAAAGAACTTTTCATGTAAGTTGGGTGAAGGAGGGTTTGGGACTGTCTACAAAGGAACTTTGCCACATTCATCGGCGAACATAGCTGTTAAGGACCTCAAGGTTCAATGTCAAGGAGAGAAGCAATTCCGAGCAGAGGTAAGCACCTTAGGAACAATTCATCATTCCAATCTTGTGCGCCTTTGGGATTTTTGTGTTGAGAGCTCAAAAAGGTTTTTAATCTATGAGTATATGCCTAATGGATCACTTGATAAGCATATATTCTGTAAAAACCCCAGAAATTTACAATGGAAAACAAGATATCAAATTGGACTAGGTATTGCTAGAGGATTGGCCTATTTACATAGCGAGTGCAGAGAATGTATCATACACTGTGACATAAAGCCAGAGAATATACTGCTAGACGACGAATATAATCCCAAGATTGCTGATTTTGGCCTTGCAAAGCTTCTATGCAGAGACTTCAGTCGAGTACTGACAACTATGAGAGGAACAAGAGGTTATCTTGCACCCGAGTGGATTTCAGGTGCACCCATTACATCAAAGGCTGATGTGTACAGCTACGGAATGATGCTTTTTGAGATTATATCAGGCAGAAGAAACTGGTCTATGAGAATCAATGGGGAAAATGATTACTTCCCACTTCAAGTCATGCAGAAATTGGTTAATGCTGAAGATGTTATAAGCTTGCTAGACAGTGAACTGGAGGGAAACGTCGACTTAGAAGAATTAATCAGAGCTTGTAGAGTTGCAGGCTGGTGTATACAAGAAAACGAGGATAGATTGTCCATGGTGAATGTCATACGAATTTTTGAAGGAGTCGTGGAAGTGGTTAATCCTCCAATTCCAAGATTTTTACACTATGTTGCAGAAATTCCAATGGATTCTACAGCTTATCTTTCATGCATTACTGAATGATAACCAACTTACCAAATCGAACAAATTTTGTATGTTAGTCATTTAAATGATAATTTCACTATTCTTTCATAAAATTGTAATAGGCCATGCATGTTCTAAGATTTTGTTCTAGGAAGATAAACTAATCAAAATCTACGCAAAGTAGCAAAAAAAAGTATTCCACTATTTTTTGGGAAATTCTAAATGGTGGCCTCAAAGATTTGGATTTTCTTTTTGGTGAAAACATTTTTTTTGTCATAGTTTCTAGTGGACATAAAGATTTAATTAAGTCTATTAAGTGTACTTATTTCATTAAAAGGGGATTAACCAGTGATTTAAGGCTAACCTTTTAACTCTAATTAGTTAATTTACTAACTTACTCCCAATTAAATCCCTCTTACAAACCCTCACAAGCATAATCAAATTTCAAGATTACACAACAACACAAAACCAAAATTCAATCGAAAAACAGAGCACCAAATTAACCTAATGTACTTAATTACATTTGCATAATTCAATATAAAAGAGTAAAAAGGTTTCAACTTTTACCTCGATATGCCCAGAAACTAATCGTCAAGAGCAAATGCCAAATTTCGTAAAATCCCCGATTATAAACCCTATTTTCCAGTTGCAATTACCTCCCGCAAATGATTGATCGTGAACTCACAAAATAATAACAGAGCCAATTTGTGTAAATTCGTGATAAAATCAGGAGAACACCTTTCGATTAATTTCTGCAAACTTGAAATTAAATTGGAGATCAAGGTTTCATTCTCTGTCACAGAAGATGAAAGGCTGATCATCAATTATGATTTGGGAGGAAAGGAGAGATTTAACTGGGGGTAAGTTTGTAAATTAATTAGTCTATCTATACTATTTTTTTTTTTTTTTCTTTTTCAACTTTGGAGTATTATTTGTGAGATATAAAAAATTTCAAAATTGCACATTAAAAAAAAAATCGAAAGTATATATACTTCCTTCGTTTTTTTAGTTAATACCATTTGACTTTTACACTATTTACACAACACGCTTTATTTCACTTTTGTGGTTTATAGATACGATAAAATATATATATGTGGTCATGTTGGATCTTGTTTCAAGAGATATTAATGGTTAAAAACATGCGTTGGCAAACGTGATGATAAAAAGGTATCAACTAAAAAAATTAAGTATCTAACTATACTTTATGGATTTTTTGTGAAAAACTACCTTTTAAAAAAAGTTGTTGTAAATGACTACCTCTTTTTTAAAAAATATTGTAAGGGACTACCACTTGCCGGAATCTGGTCGTTGACTTACTTTTTCGGTGTTGACTAGACCATGTGGCGGCCCTTTTCCCCGTTTTCAACCACCCCTACCCTCTCCTCCTCCTCCCTTTTCTAGTTTTCGACCACTCCTACAGTCCTACCCCCTCGTCGTCACCTCCACCTCAGTCCCGCCCAAATACTCCATCTAACGGCGGCGCAACCACCGTTTCCGCCATTACTACAACTTCAATCCAATGGACAAGCTCTCAATTCTTCAATTCAAAGACAAAATCGTTGAAACAGTCAAGAACAAACTCGTCATTGCCATAATCGGATAAACTAGTTCGGCAAAAGTACCCAACTTTCCCAAATCCCACTACAAGAATCGGGTTGAATTCCGACGGATTAGTTCCGACAGACAGGTAATTCCGTCGGAAAAGCCGAAATTTCCGACGGATTTATTTTCCGTCGGATATTTCCGACGAATTAAAAATTTTCGTCGCAAATCCGTCGTAAATTTCCGACGGAATCATAATCCGTCGGAATATATGCCCTTTTTCTCTTTCTCTCACCTTCCCCTTTCTCTCTCTTCTCTTCCAGATCTTCTTACCTTTCCTCTTCCTTCTCTTTTCTTCTTTTCCCTGTTTCTTACCACCGCCGCTCTTTCTTCTCTCCGCGCTTTCCCCTCTTTCTTCCCACCACCGCGACTGCAACAACCACCTCCAACATCAACCTCACACAACACCACCACTGCAACAACCACCTCCATCATCAACCTCAAACAGCGGCGCAGTACCTAACAACAAAGCTACTCTCGATCTCCTTTGCTACATACTTGGATACTCCTTCTCGATCTACTCTTTTTTTCTCCTCTCTTGATCTCCTTTAATTTGTTGTTCATTACCAAAGCTAGCCCAGAAGCTTTTCCGACCATATTCCTGACCACATTCCCGGCGTTTATGGTTTTAAGGTCAAGTTCGACCATGGAAATGCTAGATCTAGCGTTTTCATGGTCGAATTTGGCCTTATATAACCAATTTTCAGATCAATTTCAAGTTTTTGAATCGTTGTGGTAAGTTTTTTTGTCTGAATTTCAACTTATTTTGTTCGGGGTTTTTTTTTTTCGGTTTCAAGTTTACTAGATCTAACATACGTGGTTATGGTGGCTGTTGAAGTTCGGGTTTAGGGTGTTGGGATTTTAATTTTTTCTTCTTCTTTTTTTTGTTAATTTTTTCCGGGTTTCGGCGGTGGTTTTAGGTGGGTTTCGACGGTGGTCTTAGGTGGGTGGTGGCGGTAGGTCTGTTTTCATTTTTTGTTTTTTTTTTCTTTTTTTTTGTTCTGTTTTCAAAGAATTTTCCGGGTTTTATGTTTTCATTTTAATTTTTTTTGTTTGTTTTTGTTAATTTTTTCGGGTTTGGTGGTAGATCTGGTGGTTGTGGGTGGTGGGGTGGTCCTGGACTGCTGATACGGGTTAGGGGTTGGTGGTTGTGGCGGTGTCTGATTTTTTTTTTTGTGGTTGGAGGTGGTGATACGTCGTGCCGGTGGTGGCGCGGCGTATTTTTTTTAAATTCAGAAAAGCAATTTCCGACGGAAATTCCGTCGGAATTGAATCCGTCGGAATTTCCGTCGGAATTGAATCCGTCGGAATTTCCGACGGATTGTTGCTGTACATGAACAGAATTTTCCGACGGAATTTTCGTCGGAAAAGTTCATTTTTCCTACAAATGCTTTTCCGACAACCGCTTTCGACGGAATTCCGTCGGAAACCCTATTTCCGACGGATTTCAGGGTGTTTCCGACGGAATTTTTCCGTCGGAATTTAGCCTATTTCTAGTAGTGTCCTCTTCCAACAAGATTTTGTCAAATTCAGCACCATTTGTGTCACACAACCTCGCCGTGACGCCACCGTCTCCATCGCATGTTGCGTCGCCCAAGAAACGGGGGTCCGACTTGGGGAAGAAGTTGGGTACGCAATTCAAAGATCGAACTTCAACAAAACCCCCTCGAATTGAAAACCATAACCATTCCCTTCCTTTCCTCAATTGAGAAAGTTATTGATGTTGTTGTTTGAGGGTCACGAAATTGTTTAGCGATTGAGGGTTTGTGTTGGATTCGACGGGATGGAGGCGGTTTCAAGTGAGGTTGAGTTGGGTTTGGGATACGTAACAGTGGTTATAAGGGAGTTTTGTGGTGGATTGAGGTGGTGCGGTGGTGGGACGGTGGAGAAGATGACGACAAGTCGGCAATGCTGGTGGTGCATGCATAGAAAAAAGAAAAAGAAAAAAAAATTAAAGGTCAAATGACCGGCACGTTGGTGGTCAACGCCGGAAAAGTGAGTCAACGGCCAGATTCCGGCAAGTGGTAGTTCCTTACAACATTTTGTTTAAAGAAGTAGTCATTTACAACAATTTTTTTTTTAAAAAAGGTAGTTTTTCACAAAAAAAATCCATACTTTATCTATATCTATACTTAAAATTTTAAAACACAAACCCCATTTGCCACATGTCCTTCATTCTTCCTACCTCGTTATAATGTTTTTTCATGTGTACATTTTCTTTTACGTTTCTTTATAATCCTTCTCCTTTTTTTTGCCTTCTTTTTATGTCATTAGTTATTGTAGAACTTTTTCATCTTCTCCCATTTATGTATCAATAGTTCTAATAATTTTTAACCTCCTCTTTAATTTAGCATTTTGAATTTCTTAATCTTTTCCTCTTCTCCCTCCATCTTTCAAATTCAATTTAATTGAATATTAAATATGTTATTTAATTCATTGACCAATAGTTATCATTTACCAATGTTTCCTCATACAAATTTTTAATTAAGCATTTTTATACATCATCTAAATTCCCCTACTAAATTGACATAAAAATATCTCTAAAAATGTTGTCCCAAATTTGTGCTACTTGAAGATGGTGACTGAAAGGAGATAAATTAAATTTCAAATAAAAATAAGGAAAAGTTGAATGGCAAGAAAAAAGAATATGTAGATAACTCATACTCTATGATGACATTGCTTGCATGACATAAGACCATGCATACCTTCAAGATACTAAATATTTTCTTTTAGAATAGATTTTAATTTCATATTTAATGCAAAATGTAAGTTTATAACAAAAATTTGATCATCAGTTATTTGATTTTATATAACTACCATGCATGTTAAAATGTTACTCCGTATAAGATTATAAAAGTTATTTTCGTTATTTTTCCTAAATAATAACTTATACATAGCTCATGTGTAGAACGAACCCAAAAGCTAGTTAGAGTTAAAAGGTTAGTCGTAAATCACTGGTTAAGCCCTTTTAACGAAATAAGTATACTCAAGAGCAACTTCAATGACAAACTAATTTGACAATTAGCTTGCATGCCACATAAGCTTTTAAGCTAATTATCATTATAGATTTATATCTATTTTGAGCTCCAATGTCTAGCTATTAGAGCATCTCTAATGGTAAGCTAATTCTCAAATAAGCTTGCCATGCCACATAGGATTTTTACTAATTTTTTATTTAGCTATTTTGTGCCCCAATTGTTAGCTAATGACTTGTATTTAAATGAACTTAACTTAATTCTCGAGGACAATGGTAATCTAGTGATTAAAAGTATGTCAGAACCTAACAAGATTCTGTGGCAGAGTTTATAGTTCTAATGATTTCACATTTAAAATAGATATCAAGACAATGAGTTCTATTAGTCTTGAGAAAGGTGGGACTAAACACGGTTCTTATTATGTTGCAATACCATAATGCTCCACAGCTCCACTGTCAAAATTAGTAAAAAATAATATTAAATAGTTTGGGAAATTATCATTGATACACCTCAAGTTCCGACTTTTATCAATGGTACCATTACTATGTTTTTAATTATCAACGGTACATCCATGGTTTAGGCTTCTTAACTACTGTGATTAATATGTTAAAAAAAAGTTAATAGCGTTCTAATGTTATAAGTTAAGGTTAATAAAAAATGACAAAGACTACAATACCCTTTTTTAAAAGCCCTTTTTTCCTCCTTCTGCCATAATTAAACCCCCCTTCCATTATGATGATTAGACTTCCTTCTTCTGCATTCATTTATCACGTACTCTGTTTCATTCATATATATCTTGCGCTTGAATTGTAGAACACGAAAGCTAGGGTTTTCATCCAGAGAAAATTCCAATATTGCGAGTGCAAATAAGGGAAATCTTTGCTTTGACGAAATCTTCGCCCAATTTAAGCTCTGTTGCATTCTCTTCTTCTTCTCCTGACATTGTAGATTTGTTGAAAAAGATGGAGATTTTCTGGGGTTAGAGAGAGAGGGAAGAAGATGTTAAATGGGTTTTGCACTTTTTCGAGTTAAGCATACTATTGGGACCTAAAGTTTCACAATTTTTATTGTTTGGGACCTCTTTTTTAATTTTGTATAGTTTGGGACCTCTATCCAAACTTTTGTTACTTTAACCAAAGGTAAACTCAAGATATAATTAACTATTCATAAAAGGAGAATTAGTTCAACATCCTTAAAAAAAAGGTATTTACATTAAACAAAAACAATACTGCCACAAATCCACAATACTAGGCAATAATATACTACCGATTTTTCCTGCTTAAACCCATCAACTTGTTGTCAACACCAAAAACTCATCTTCAACAGCTCAAAATCCCTACAAAAATTAAATTAATTTAATAATTAAAATCTGTGAATGAGGTTCACAAGTACTCTGTATCATTATTATAAGTACAATTATTATACCCCAACAATATATATTTACACCAAGCAATGCAAACATATGTAATATATAACAAGATTCCAAGATGATTTCATTCTCCCATTGTGCTGAACATAAAGTAACTCAAAGAATATATAACTAATACCAAATTGCATGTAATAAAAAACAAGGAAATAATTTGTTTAGGTACCTGACTTGTGAAACATCTTCACCCTTTCTTAATCTTGATTCTTTATTTTGCATGATGATATTGAGTTGTCATGCTTGATGGTGTGCTTGCTTGCATATCAATTGTGTATTTAGACTGTTAATAATATTGAGAAATGAACATCAGGGTATTCATGTAATGATTAATATAATATAATATAATATAATAACATGGCTCATAAAAGAAAACTAAAATAATTACTTTCTAGAGCTTGTCTTTGAAATCCATCTGGATAGTTATAAAGACCATGTCCCTTATTATGCCTTGATACCTCATCTTGTGACTCTTGAGTTGGAAGATCTCGTGCCGTCTTATTTTGCTCTTGCTTCTTTTTTTTGTTTCTGCTTCATTTGTTGTAAAGATTGAAATGGATCATTAAAGGGATGTGCTGATGGACCTTCTTTGTTAGCAACATGAGGTTTGTTATGACCTTCTTGTCTACAATTACTACACCGAAAAATACTCCCTTTCTTGCTCAATCTCATGTTTCCATCAACCTCTCCCAATGACAGTTTTCTTTTAACGGTCGGTCGGTGATTAATTTTCTTAACCAATGGAGCCTGTATAGAATCATATTGGGATGCAGGCCATCATATTAATTGTACTCTATATACATTATTTTTCATCTGTCTATCAATTTATTTAGATTAATTCAATTACGTAAATATATCAAGGCCTTACCATTGAACCGTATTACATTATCAAAAATTTGTAGATTACAAATATTAACATTGAGATTTACCAAGCAAAAATAACTTGTATCTTACCCCCCTAATTTCGTTTTCTGTAATTCAATATCAAAACCCTTAAATTAATCCCTTTAAGTCAAAACCCACTAAAAAGGAAATCAATTCATATGCTTTTTGAAATAAAGCACAAGGAGAAGTAGTATACTTGTAGAATTGCTTATTGCTAGTAAGAGATCAATATTTTTAACAGTAGATGAAAGATGAATTTTGAAAAACTTTAGAAGAGATAGGCCATGTTTGGTAATTGGCTTTTTAATGGCTTTTTGGTTAGCTTTTGGCTTTTGGCTTTTTTAGGTGGTCAAACAGCCAAAAAATGTGTTTGGTAATTGGCTTTTTAGTCAGCGAAAAAGCTGGCTTTTAAGCCAAAATGAAAAAGCTTTTTTGAGTAGCTTTTTTGTTGGCTTTTGGCTTATTGGCCCACAAATTATCTAATAAACATCCAACAACCAACAATTAATTTACCAAACACTTTTATAAACAACCAGCTTAAACAGACAATTTCAAAAGCCATTATAAACAGCCAAACATTCCAGCTAGTCAAACAAGTCAAGTGAACCAGCCAACAGCCAACCGCCAACAGCCATTTACCAAACAAGGCCAAGTTTAACAGATGTTCAAATCCCACGAAAAAATTGCACATACAAAGTATTATTTTTGGCCATTTGAGGTTTTAATTCATGGGAACCATTATTTTTAACTCATGTGGGTTATTTTAACCTAACTTGGATGGAAGTTTAGATAGAGGTCCCAAACCATGTAAAATTAAAAAAGAGGTCCCAAACCATAAAAATTGTGAAGCTTTAGGTCCTAATAGTATGCTTAACTCACACTTTTTCGGTCCACACCCTTTATTTATAAGGTTATTAGGTGTATTATGATGTGGTTTTTTTTTGTTTGAATATTGGTGCATGTTGTAAGATTTTAGATGTATTTTTCTTATTTTGCAGAATGAGTACACCACCACCACCACCACCAATTGAAAATGAACCTCCACTTCCACCACCACCTGCAATACATGATGACCCAAATCAACCACCAAAATCAGCAGTTTATAAAATCACACCTAGGAGGAATAGTATTACTTATATCCCTTTAGCTGATGATGAACCTTATCTAGGCATTGATGAGACTTGGATTGATTACATAAAAGAGTATAATGAGAGGAGCAGCAAGCAAATAGAAAAGGAGTATACTCAAGGCAGGAAAGAATTTGAGAAGAGTATGGAGAAGATAGCAAAAGGAAAAAAGGGTCAGTCTAACAAGGGTACCACTTCCAAATCCAATCTAAACAAACAGACACAACCACTTAGGGAAGGAGAGAAATTACCTCCATCACCTATCTCACCAAACACTGCATTCAAAACCTTGCCTCTTAGGAGGAGTCCTAGATTTTCCCCCCTTGGACACACTGATGTAAACACATGTGAGGCAACTTCAGAAGTTAATAAGCCATTAGAGTCCTCTGTCTTTAATAGAAGAATCCCTAGAACCACGGCTATTAGGAAAGGTGTTAGAAAGTTACCTGTTATTCCAGTGGTTGAAGTTGAGCAGCAGGTTACGGTCTCTGAAAATGTTAAGTCTAAAGGAGCAAGTTCAAGGGTGAGGAGGAAGGTTTCATTTGATTCTGAAGGAGATGGTTCATATGACAATATTGATGCAGACTTTATTGCAACTAGGAATGATGATGTGTCTGATGGTGATGAGGTTATACCAACTGGTCTAGTACCTGCAGATGAACTAGAGGGGCTTAAGACAGTTCCTAAAGTGAAAGATAACTGGAAACTTGGAAAATGGTATAGGTTCATAGATGATGACAATGATGATGCTTACTTTAACACTTTGTACAAAAACGGAGAGATGTATGAAGAAAGGAGATTTGGAAGGATAGAGTTAAGACCTTGGATGATTTTTACTGACAAGCACTACAAAAATTTGGCCTTTTAGCAACAGGTGAAATCCGTTGCTAATTACTAAAAATCCGTCGCTGGACATAGCTAGCTGCGGATATATCGACGGAATCACTCTGTTGATAAAAACCTTGTCGCTAAATGAATTTAGAGACGGGAAAAAAAATCCTTCGCTGGACTTAGCAACGGAAAAAAAATCCGTCGCTGGATTTAGCAACGGAAAAAAAAAAATCCGTCGCTAGACATAGCAACGGAAAAATAAATCCGTTGCTAGATTCAACAATGGAAAAAAAACATTTTGAATCTAAAAAAGAGCTTCTATTTGAGTCGACCTCACTCGGGTCAACGCGACTCCGCTTTCCATGTAACGCTCCTTGGATCTCCAATCGCAAGATTGCTGTTAGTAGGAGTCGAACCCGTGACCTCAATGTCAAATAGTGAAACTCTTACCAACTATACCAAATATTATTTGTTTACTTTTACACACATAATTGATAATAAATGAAAGAAATATTAGAGATGGAATTTAAAATCCGTCTCTAGTTTAGTAACGGAATTTAAAATCCGTTTCTAATTTAGTGACAGATTTAAACATCTGTTTCTAGTTTAGAGACGGATTGAAAATCCGTTTCTAGTTTAGAGATGAATTTAACTTACATAATTCATCTCTAATGTAATATTTTACATAATTAGTTTTAAAAATTATCTAGAGACGGAATCAAAAATCTGTCGCTCATATTAGCAACGGAAAAAAAATCCGTCTCTAACTTAGCAACGGAAAAAAAAAATCTGTTGCTAACTTAGCAATGGAAAAATAATACGTCTCTAAATTTAGCAACGGAAAATAAATCCGTTGCTAGATTCAGCAACGGAAAAAAAAATCCGTTGCTAATTTAGTAACGGAAAAAAATCCGTTTCTAATTTAGAGATGGATTTTCAATTCCGTTGCTAATTTAGCGAAGGAATTTTTAATTCCGTCTCTAATTTAGAAACGGATTTTTAAATTCCGTCTCTAAATTTTTAGAGATGGATTTTTTGATTCCGTCTCTAATTTAGAAACGGTTAAAATTCCGTCGCTAGAATTCCGTTTCTGTATGGACATTTTTTTGTAGTGAAGGTTCACTTGAAAGACACTGTAAAGGACTTTGCTGTTCAGGAGGGGTTTGCCATCAATGTTGAGGCTGTAGATAACAGGAGGTATACTGTGATATGTAACTCTGAAGCATGTGGTTGGAGATTGCATGCTAGCAGATTACCTGATGGTAGGACATGGGCTATTAAAAAGATATGGCCAAGTGAGCATATGTGTAGGGGGTTGGAGACTTATAATCCCATATGTAATGTTAAGTGGGTTGCTAATAAGGTTATGGAGGACATTAGAGCTAACCCAAGCATTCCTGGTAAATCACTTAATGAGTTGTTGTTTCAGAGGTTTGGAGTTTACTTGAAGCAGGCAACTTTATACAGGTTAAAGAATTATGTGATCAGTGTATTGTTTGGAGGGCATGATGAGTCATACTCAAAGTTACCAATGTATGTTGAAGTTGTCAAACACACTAACCCAGAGTCTAAAGCTTTTGTTGCTTGGAGGCAGACAGAGTACATTGACAAACACCTTCTCTTTAGCAGCATATTCATCTCTTTTACTGGGCAGTGGAAAGGGTTTCTTAGGGGATGCAGACCTTTAATTGGTGTGGATGGTACACATCTAAAAGGAAACTATGGTGGTATATTGCTTACAGCAGTTGGATTGGATGGAAATAATAAAATATTTCCTATTGCATATGCCATAGTGGGCCAAGAAGATAAGGATAGCTGGTCATTTTTCTTCTGGCATTTGTTGAACATTGTGAAAGAGTCCTCAAGGAAGCATTGGACCATCATTAGTGACAGGCAAAAGGTAAGATGTTAACTTGCCTTGTTATTATTTATGTAACGTTTTAATTATCTTATATGTTCTAACATTGTTTGATTGATTTAGGGTGTTGACTTAGCTTTGACTCAGATATGGCCTGAAGCAGACAGGAGGTATTGTTGTAGGCATTTGAGCAGAAATTACAAAAAAGCTTTTCCTGGACCACTTATGTACATCTTGTTCTGGAGGGCTTGCAATGCCACATCATTTTTCACCTTTAGGAAAGCCATGGAAAGGCTTAAAAAAGGAGGAGGGGATGAGGTGATGAAATGGTTTGCTGATCTGGGTGAGCAATCCAGGTGGACCAAGCACAAGTTTGATCCCAATGTCTGTAATGATTCAAACACCTCAAATTTTGTGGAAAGTTTCAACTCCACACTAGGAATTGACAGGTGCAGACCTATTCTTACACTACTTGAAGGTTTGTGCTACTTTGAACATGTTCACTCTTATGATGTTCAATTTCCCCTTTTTTTAATCCTCTAAAAATGTACACTTTTTTTTTTTTTTTTTTTGTAGGAATAAGAAGAGTTTGCATGGTGAGACTTGCAACTAGATATGAAAATGGCATCAGTTGGAAGGAAGATGACATTTGCCCTAAGATTGCAAAAATGGTAAAGAAGATTGGCAAAGCAAGCTCAACATGTAAGGCATTCAAGTCTAAGCCTGGGGAGTATGAGATACATGAGGGAAGGTCTCAATTCCCTTTAAGTCTGAATCAGAAAGTATGTTCTTGTGGGGCTTGGCAACTATCAGGAATACCTTGTAGGCATGCAATCAGAGCACTAGTTGATACCAAATTAGATCCTCATGCATATGTCAGTTCATGGTTTTCTGTCAAGACATATAGGCAAGCTTACAGAGTTGGTACTAACCCTGTTCCTGATACAGAACAATGGCCAGAAAGTCAGAATGAAAGAATTATATTGCCACCAAAGATGAAGAGGGGTATTGGAAGACCTAGCTGGAACTAAAATCCCAATATTGGAAGACCTCAAGTTGATAATATTAGAATAAATAAATAAAAATGAAGTGATGCATTTTCTAAGATTTTGTTCTAGCAAGATAAACTAAAATCTACACAAAGTAGCATAAGAAGTGTTTTGTACTCCATATAATACGAAGTACTTCCAATATTTTTTTTTTATAGCAACAAATTTTTTTAATGGCCAATCTTTGCAAACTTTGATACTACGAGTAGAGTGAGTTTACCAATATATTAGAAAATTGGTTATCATGTGAGATCGCGATCTTTATTAGATTAGTTTCAGTATGATATGGAGTATTTCAAAATTTTAAAACTTTTACTTATACATGGTCAAAATTTGTCGTGGAGTTTGTACACAATCTATTAATAACGACGGATCGAGTGTTTTGGATGAGTTGATGGCTTGATGTTATATTGGATTGTTGCCGTTGGGGAACCAAGACTTCTTCAGGATCACTTGCTTATTGGAATTTTAGGCCAAACTCCTGTTGTCCTTAGAGTTTGTAGGCATTGTAGCTAGGATTAAATTTGGATGCCTAGAAAGTTGATTAAGATCACAATTTGGTCATCTATATATTGGGCTGTGTTGGCTTCCTGAAGTGGATAACAGAGAAGATTGGGCCATTATTAGACGTACTAGTGAGTTGTGAGTCTTTTGACAACAACCAAATTTTAAAAAATAAAAAAATAAAAAGGATCATCATCTCACTCATTCTTTGTACTACCAATCTACCATTGTTTCATAAAGTACTAATTGCAACAAAGGAATTTTTTTATCTCTCATAAATAATTCTCTTTTTTTAAATGTAAAAAATACTCCTTTGTTGCAATTATATGAAACGGATGGAGGTAATAAGATTCTTACTTCTTCGCTTATTTTGTAGTTGATATATACTTTATTCGTCATATTTGACAAAGCATAAGTTTAACAATTAATTAATAAGCTAATCACCAAGGACTGATCCCCAAATCCGAATTACTCCAAAGGGTGACCCGGGAAAAAAAAATTGATATATTTCTTGAAAAGATTCAAACATGATTCGCCATAATTATGTTCTATCATATAATAATAGTATTATATGTGGATAATGTTGAAAGTTAAAAACGCATTAACTAAAAAAAATGAGAAATTTTCATATAATTTAATTGAGTTGATGAGAAATATCACAAACTCAATTCATCTTATTTGAAAATGCATAAGTTTAACAATTAATTAATAAGCTAATAACCAAGGACTGATCCCCAAATCCGAATTACCCTTAAGGGTGAATCGGGAAAAAAAATGATAGTATATTTCTTGAGAAGATTTAAACATGATTCGCCATAATTATATTCTATCATATAAAAATTGTATTATATGTGGATAATTTTGAAAGTTAAAACGCATTAACTAAAAAACTGAGAAATTTTCATATAATTAAATTGAGTTGATGAGAAATATCACAAACTCAATTCACAACTACAATAAAGTTATGTAAGTTAAGATAAAGATTAAAATTTGTTCAAATTTTGTATACTTATGCTCTATTTAATATTTATCTCGCCTCATTTTCACTCAACTAATAAGTTCGAATAATGGTAACAAAATAACATAAGGATAATAAGTTTTAATTAGATTAGGCAAGAGGAATAAGATATAATAATAAGACAAGATAAGATAAGGTAATACAGTATAAGGTAAGATGAGATGACACTTAATTAGTATGAATAAAGATAAGGGCTAATTAATAACTAAGGTAAATTAAGATAAAGTAAGTTCAATACTTGTGTAGAGACAAAAAAATTAAAGAAAATTTAAAATAAAAAAAATAAAAAAGATTCAAGACTAAGGTAATACTACCTTAAAAACTATTAAATGCATTAATTCAAATTGACTATGTCTATATAAAAAAAATGTGGGATGAGTCTATTATTCATGTTATGCATGGTTGGTATGTTATTACTATGTTGAATTACTTGAATACAATACTACTCGATATAATTACCTTATTTTTGTATATAGTGACCTTTGGGTTGTTTCACACCATCAGATTATCTAGTGAACATTCAATGGCTAAGATTGCTTGTTTTTAGTTTTCACCATAAGCACTGTTTTCAGCGGAACCTCCCCGTATATATATATATATATATATATATATATATATATATATATATATATATATATATATATATATATATTGAATTACTTAAATACAATATTTCATTAAAAGCATGATTAATTCTTAACTAGTTTTATACTCCATATAATATACTCCATAAGATAAATCATATTTATTTATATGATTGAGCAAGATTTTATTACATATTTCCACATGCACTTAAAAGTTTAGACAACCACGTACATGCAGTGAGATGTTGAAGATTGAAACCTTGAGGCCGCTACTATGACACCACGAACACTCACGAGCGAAGCTCAAAATATTAAAATATATATATATATATATATATATATATATATATATATATATATATATATATATATATATATATATATATATATATATATATATATATATATATATTCATACACTTTGTAATTTTGTATAAATAATATACATAAATCAAATCAATAATCTTCCTATTGATATTTCTTATGAGATCTGTAAATGTAATACGTAGTATGAAGATATATACTTTCAATTTTTTATTTTTTTTTATTATTACAAATATCCTAGAGGAGTACCCCAATCAAGTCGGCTTATTTGTCTTCATCGTAGGACGCATTCAATAAAAATCTTTGATGATCTTTCTTAATGAATCCAAAAACATAAATATATTTTCATCAACAAACATGGGGAGCTACATAATGTGATTAATTTCATTACACCAATGAATCTATGATGACGTGGATATTGGACGAATCATAACAAACATTAATTATCTACACATTACATTAGAGCATTTATGCGTGGCTTAGACAATGCCTTGGGTTCTTACATTGTAAATTTATATTACGAAGTATTTGAGTTATAAGACATAAGTATATAATGAGAATAACAAAAAAAAAATATTACAATAAATATCATGATCAAACCGTTGCTACCCCCAAAAAAATCTCAATCATAAACATATAATAACAGCGCAATTAGGATAAGATTTTTAACTAGTTTCTTTTTAGTGTTGAGCTCAAATCATATTATTCACACTTTCATATACTTCATGCTTCGCATTAGGGCATGTTTTGTTCACCTTAACTTCACTTATTTTAGGTCTAATAATTTCAGATAAGTTAAAATTAAGGAAAATAAGTTTCAATATGGGTTACCCAAGTTCATATTACAACTAATATAAGTTTATGTAAATTCGGATAAGATAAGATAAGTGAAAATCGGGTGAATAAGGTTCCGCCCGTTCACTTCACCTAATTTTTGCTAAACTGAAATTATTTTTCACTGAATTTAAATTATTTTTTTTACTGAATTGAACTTATATTTACTGAACTGAAATTATTTTTACTGAATTTTTTTTTTTTAAGATGAAGTAAACAGAGCCTATTCACACCCTCAATATTTCTAACTAGTGTTATGGTACCTATTCTTTCTTTGCTGAAATGGAGATGCACAAGCTCGTGTTGTCGGCTTCGATTATTTTCATTTGCTGGTAAGAGCACCTTTTTTTTTCAAACCCATAAATCACTCTCAGAATCTGAACGCGTTCTTTTCAAACACGTCAACACAACCAGATGAATATTTTCACGTTAACGTATTCATATTCAACATCCATATCCCTTCAAAAGACCCAAATGCAAAAATAAGACAATTCAAACCTTCCTTATATAGGGCAAGGATGTGTACAAAATACCCCACTAATTTAGCTTATAAGACCAATAATTAATAATCATACACATAACACATTCATGAGAAAATAATCTTAACTTTGACCAAGTAAGAAGGTGTACATCTAACCTTTCCCTTTCAAAAGTCTCCTCATCACCTCTTTAAAAAACCTTCCAATTTTTTCTTAACAAATCAAAATCACATGAACCCACACACTTTACTCTCACTTGCTTCTTAAATTTCCCATTATTTTCCCCAATTTTTTCGCTTCCCACATTCTTTCTCTTTCTCTCTCTTCTTGTTGGTTATTTTTTCTTCTTCCAAATAATCCCCAAATCCCCTTTCTTGTTCTTTGTTTGGATGAATTTATACCCACAAAATCTGGGACTTTGAGAGATTAATTTTTCTGGGTATCTTGAATTTTTGTTTGATTGATTAATCATGCCATCTTTATGGAAGAAACAGAATGGGAATCGGATTTCTCGGCTTGTTGCCGACTTCCAAACAGGGCCTAAACGAGGTGGGTCTCTCGTTGTTGAAACTGGGTTTCCAACTTCTTTGATTGATCTATTTGTTAAGAATCGTGATAAATTGAAGAAACCCAAATCAAAGCATCACAAATCTAAGAAGAAGAAGAAAGCAAATGAAGAAGATGTTGATGAACAAAACCGTTTTCCAAATTTGCCCTCGGTGAGTGATTCTTCTGTTTCTGTTTCTGGGTCTGATTTTGATGCTTCCAGTTGCTCAGTTGTTGAAAATTGTCAAGAATACGTTGCTCAGATTGATAAAAACGGTTTATTTGTTGATTATTGTGTTTCCCATGAAAACCCTGTTGTAGATATGCATCATCATCATGATTCTTGTGAAAATGGTAGTGATGAGGAGAGAAGAGAGGTTTTCAAGGTTTCGAATTCTAGTTTTTTAGTTTTGTTGTCAATTTTATTGGGAACGGTTGTTCTTGCTGTTGTGTTATATACTAAACGGTGGTTTCTTGCGTTGATCACATTGGGGTTTCTGTTGTTGATGTTGTTAGAATATGTTGGTAAACCGTGTTTCGGGTTGTTGTTGAAACCGTGTGAGAATGTCGTTTCGATGTCGATTTTGAAGGGGGCTTTGGTTGTTGGTGTAGCCTTGTATACAAAGTGGTTTGTTGTGGGGATTACCATTGGTGCTTCGTTGTTGATCTTATTGGAATACGCCGGAAACTCGG